GAAATTGTAGTGCCTTGTTTCTCATACAGTTGATCCAAATATCATGCCAAATTCTGAATAATAACGTGAAGAAGATCAAATAGCCCAAAATTTCTCAAAGATTCAACAATGAAGTAGCTCTGATCCCACTTGGTAGAATTTAAATTCAGATTTCCAGATTTGAAAGGAACTAATAATCCAATTTTAATCCTTTCATAAATTTATCCACGTTGAATCAAAGAGAACAAAATAAAAGCCGAAGCGTACCTTGATCCGTGATTGTAATTGATTTTGTTCGGGTTATGATCTTCCAATTGATCCGTGATTTCCCTTAGAATTATTGAAGAAACTCTCTGTTGATGAAGATGCAGAGGTTATTGAAAAAATCACGTCAATTGGGAACCATGATCCCATGATAAATAACTGCTAGGCAGTTATCATCTTTTATATGTTTTAAATTGGCCCCTTATCAATTTAAAACAACTACCCGACCTTTACACTTTAATCCCATAATAATTGATGCCCATTAGTTCAAAATTAAATTCATTGGATCACTTTAATGGACAAAAAAATAAGATAGCAACGCACACTTTAATCATACACATGTGTGGCCCCAATTGATAAAAATTTTCCAACATACTCTTCTATATTTTAGTTTGGTGCACTTAACCTTCGCCCATATGGAGGCATGAGCTCGCAATCTCATTTTCTTGATTCAACACTAACTACATGGAAATATAATACTAATCAACGTAGAAGTACTTGCATAGAGGTAGTTTAGACTGAAGGTTAACCGATGCGTATAAATGACATAACTTTCAATAATTAGACTCTATTGTCAAAGGAGGGAGACAATGTATATTATAATTTAGAGAGCTATTTTAAATTGTTAATTTGAAGTGTTTTCTAGATCATAATTTTAAAAATTAACTGTTCAAAGTTTAGAATAGAGAGCATTTAATTTTTAAAGAGCCTCTTTAAGATACTCTTAAAACATTTTCAAGTAACTCTTTATTTTTAAATAGCATATTTAATAATTTTATAGAGCATTTATAAATTTAGAGAGTGAAAATTTTGAAATATATCAATAGCTCTTATATTTAACACTTAATTTTTTCACTCCCAAAATTTTTTTTTAAATTTTTTTCTATATTTTACTTTAACTAATTTTTTCTCTAAATTATTATACTGTTTTCATAAATTGAAAATTGGAATATTTTTAATGCCTTTAATTATAGAAAGTATGTTGACTCTTCAAATTTGGATAGTCAAATCCACTCTCTAAATTAAAATGTTAATTTAAATAGTCATTTGGAACATGATGTTAAGGGTTGTCTCTTTAAAATAAAGAGTATATCATATTTAAAGAGTTTCTTGAAGGTGCTTTTAGTATTCAAATACCATTAATGCTAGAAATCAAATACGTCGAACTTAAATTGCAAATCCACTACAATAAAGGCGGGATCACAAAATCCTCTACTTCTATCAGTCAAGCAAGATTCAGCAAAAATATATTGTTCTAAAGGGAATAATTAGGGAAAATAACCAAAATCCAAGCTTTGAAATTTTGGTTATTATAAGTCAATATTAAGGATTTTTATTACAATAATCAGACATTAATTAAAAAAACACTCATTTATTCCTCTCTCTAACCATCTCTCACTGCTATCTCTTTTCATAAACAAAAATTAAAAGCACCATCTCTCTCGCTACAACAATTTCTCTTTTTGCTTTTATCATATCCTCACTTGTTTCCTCTCTACTCTTTCTTTCCAAAAAACAGAGAATGGAGGCACAATATCTCTTTAACCATTTTTCTTTGTACTACATCATATCCTCCCTTGCATCTCTTTCAATTTGTAATCTTTTATTGCTTCCCACTTGTTAAAATATTTGTATATTGCTTCCAGGAAATCAGATCTGTTTAAATTTTTGTAATCCTTTATTTGCCTCCCAATTGCTTCCCTCTTTAAATTTGAAGATTTTGGTCAAATCAAACTTAACAACTTGTTTACAACTTATTTGGGATATATATATATATATATATATATATATATATATATTTTTTGTGGTTTGATGTGATTATGTGTTATTGTAATCGTGACTTGTTAATTAAATTATAAGTCACGAAATGTGATCATAATTTTTTTAAATCTATAATTTAGAATTGAAAGAGTATCTGCAGCGGAGTGAAACTGAGATAGGAGGTGAGAGAAATAATTATTAAATGATATATTTATTATGATATGATATTGTTGATGAAAATATCCTAAACTAACTAATTTTCGTAAATTTCATTCGCAGTAATAAATCAATATAGTTTATCACCTGATTTTTTGAAATACTTTTGAAAATTTCTTAAATATGAAATTGTATGCGTAGTTATATATATTTTCCCTAATAATTATGCAACCATCATAAATGATTGTAAATTTTATTTCATGCCATGCACTCTAGATCTTATATGTGGCTCCGTCAAATTGTTGTCTACTAACGTGCCAATTTCTTGTCACGGAAACATGAAAATAAAAAAATAATATATAAAATAATATATACACACACAAACATACATATACATATTTTTCATATTTCTAAGATTAAACAAAAGGATTTGCAAATAAAAGTGCTAATGCTACAACCAATCCATAAATTGTTAAAACTTCCATAAAAGCTTGAGTTGGATTAAAAGCGCAGAATGTATTTGCACCATCACCATTTTCAAATAAAGTATTTTCTAAGGTAGCACTATGAATAGTGCATAGCAAAGCAGCACCCAATAGACCGGCAACTCCCATCATATGCTTCAACCTCGGATCGTTGGTGAGGAATGATATCATTTTAGTTATGGGCGAACGACGGGAATTGAACCCGCGCATAGTGTGTGTGTGTATATATATATTCAATTTCTTGGACGATAAAGATTTGGTTCGTATTCTTTCCAATAAATTCCTCTCTTAGAGAGAATGATATTGCCCCCAAAATTAGATTAGTTTTGGACCATTTTAATTTTTCTTGTGTGAAGATCGTTTTGTTTTTCCTCAGATTTTTCTTGGAAGATGATACAATCCCACGTTTTTTTCCTCAAAAGTAAATTATTAGAAAATAAAAAAATATCGAATCATATTGATTGTCTAACTATGAAAATATGGAATTTCATATTAAAAAGTCGACTTCGTTAAAAGTAGTGGCTCAGATCTGTTGGTCAATATTTCGATAATTAATTAATGTGGAATTTATTTTTTAATATGCCCCCAGAAATATTAGCTCGTTTGAGCAGTTCCATTTTGAAATTCATGTACTCATTTTTTGAGTTTTAATCGGTACGAATTGTGCGTTGAAATTTAATAGATTCTGATATTATATCAAGAATTGATGTTTCATTTTAAAATGTCAATTTTATTAAGAAGGTTAGTCAATCCCTTATATATTGGTTTATATTTCTATAATTTACCTTATTTCGATAAATATAACTCATTTGAGCATATCGATCTAAAAATTTGTGTGCTCATTGAGTCTTAATCAAATCAAATTGTACGTTTAAATTTAATGGACTATAACACCATATTAAAGCTTAGGATTTCATCGTAAAGGTTAACATTATTAAGAGTTGCCCAAATTTTTATATGTAAATAAATAGGATAAAGTTACTTTGCCATAAGGATTTGATCCATCGAATCTATCAAACCTTATAAGGACTTGATTTATCATCCTTATCGTAGCCATGATTGTCTTGTTCTCCATGTTCAAAATATCATTTGAAATTGTTGATCAAAAGTTGATGAAGAACAAAGAAGCAGCAGCAACAATAATAATCCACCAAATGGAAGGTTTGAACACGATTATAAATTAGTATCTTCAAACAATATTTGTCACCACCGGAACAAGTACTTGAAGGCTTTCAATTGCAAATAGTTTGTAAGAGTCATCAAAACTTTCATCCAAAGTTTGAATCAAGCAAACAAAACTTGGAAAAGGAGCTTAAGAAAAAAAATTTAGAAACTAGGTTTGATCTTTGATTTGGATATAATGGTACAAATATGATGTTTAGGATATGTTTTCAATCATATAGGAAAATGTACAAAAATCAAGTAAAAAATGTGTTGATGAGAAGATGCTATAACTCAAAATCCCAATGGACCAAATTTTGCAATGAGCGATTGCCCAATAGGCCATTTTTCGGCCGCCTCCGTTTTTCTTCTCAATTTGCTTTCGCTTGATTTTGTCATGGTTGATCAATATTTAATCATTTCAAATCCCTCCTTATTATATACATTGAACAATATTCCAATAAATGGTTCCAAAAACAACTTTTAAGTCTCAATATTTCCTTTCGATTTTTCAAATGTCAGGTCAAATGTGATCTTAGTAGATTAAAATCTATCATACTTACAGGAAGTCAAACACAATCTAACTGCTACATAGATGGAATTTTATACATGGATTAGCAACAAATTCTTTTGTTAATCTCTGATCTTAATTGTTTATTAATTGTGGAGTCACAACCACATGTAGACGGCTTACAAATAGCATTACTCATATAACTAAATTATCTAATCGACTAAAGATAATATTTAAAAAATATATAGTCATATTTCTATCTAACAGCTTAAATTTTTAAATCATATTGTTCAATGCAATCAGGGCTGATCCAGGGATGGGTCAGCGCTGTGCTACAACCCCTCCCTCTTGCTCAAATGTTAATTAAAACAAAAAAAATTAAGTACATTTTTTTATTTTTTTGGCAGCATTTTGACGAGCTGCGCCAATCCTGGGTAATGGTTGACTTCATTGATCGTTTCACATTAGCAAAATGATAAAACAATTCCATGATATTCATTAAAAAATATGGGTAGGCATCCTTTTTGTACTGTCTTTAAAAGTTTCGATTTTGTGCCAGTATTTTTATCATTCAGTCAGACATCAGCTATTGTATACTTGCGATACTGCCAAATTAATCGGACAATTTAACGTTATTCTATGTTACCCATGAAAAGTCTCTCTTGTTTTTAGTTGAACGCGAAATTTCCTTGCAAATCAAGAAAATGAAGGCTTTATGTAGAGAGAGACCTTGAGGTCCATGATTCCTGTCAAAAATTAATCCATGGAGGGATTATTAGTGATTATTCTTGTTATTGCAAGTTTTAGTTCAATATCAACAGAAAATGTAGGCAATGGTAATGCAAATAATGTAAAATGTCGAGCCACAGATCGTGAAGCGCTTCTTGATTTCAAGAATGGCCTGAATGATCCTGAGAATCGACTCTCGTCATGGCATGGTATCGACTGTTGTATCTGGAGGGGCATTGGATGCAATAATGCTACAGGTTCTGTTACCAAAATAGACCTTCACAATCCATATCCAGACTTGACTACTAGTGCCAGGTATGGATTCTGGAACTTGAGTGGAGAAATTAGGCATTCATTGCTGAGTCTCAAGTCATTGCAGCACTTAGACTTGAGTTCTAACACATTTGATGGCGTCCTGATTCCTGAATTTCTCGGTAATCTAAAGAATTTGCAGTATCTGAACCTGTTCGATGCTGGATTCAGTGGTATTATCCCTCCAAATCTTGGAAACCTCTCTAATTTGCAATATCTGGATGTTTCTTCAGGATCTTTAAGCTTAACTCTTGATGGTTTCCAATGGATAACTGGACTTACTTCATTGAAACATCTTGAAATGAAATCCGTTGACCTCTCTTTAGTTGAGTCGAATTGGCTGGAAATGTTAAACATGTTGCCTCATTTAACCGAGCTGCATCTTGCATCGTGTTTCTTGTTCGGTTCCATTTCATCACTTGATTCTGTTAATTTCACTTCACTTGCTGTTATAGACCTTAGTTTTAACAGTTTCAACTCAATGTTCCCTGATTGGCTTGTCAATATCAGTAGCCTTGTCTATGTTGATTTGAGTAATTGCATGCTTAGAGGAAGGATTCCTCTTGGATTCGGCGATCTTCCGAATCTAAAATACTTGAATCTTGCCATGAATGGCAACCTTAGTGCCAGTGGCCAATCACTTTTCAAGGGTAATTGGAAAATGATAGAGGTTCTTGATCTAGCATTGAATCAAGTACACGGGAGACTTCCTGCTTCCATTGGAAATATGACAACTCTCACTGATTTTGATTTGTTTGATAATTCTGTTGAAGGTGGAATACCAAGCACAATTGGCAGGCTCTGCAAGTTAGTAAATTTCGATATATCTGGGAATAAATTGACAGGAAGTTTACCTGAGATACTCGAGGGGTCGGAAGACTGTTTTTCCAAGAGTCCTTTTCCCAACTTGGTTCAGTTAAAATTGACCGGCAATAACTTAACTGGTAGATTACCAGAATGGTTGGGTGAGCTCAAAAATCTTGAGGAACTATCACTTGTTGCCAACTTGTTTGAAGGCCCTATACCAGAATCTTTAGGGGCACTCCAAAATTTGACAGATTTAAATCTAGCAGGCAACAAATTAAATGGAACTCTACCTGAGAGTATAGGGCAACTTTCAAACTTGTCTTTTCTTGATGTTTCTCTTAATTCTCTAACTGGCATTTTAACCGAGGCACATTTCTCCAAGCTAATCAAGCTAAAAATTTTAGTTCTTTCTTCTAATTCCTTTGTTCTGAATGTCAGTTTGGATTGGATTCCTCCATTCCAAATCCGTAATCTTGACATGGGCTCCTGCAACTTGGGACCTTTATTTCCGGCTTGGCTTAAATCGCAGCACGAGCTTATGTACCTCGGCCTCTCCAATTCAAGCATCTCAGGTTCCATACCTAACTGGTTCTGGGACCTCTCGTTTAATCTTTCACTACTTAATGTCTCTTTCAATCAATTAGCAGGTCAATTGCCAAATTCATTTCAAGTTATTCCATATGCGGATATAGATTTTAGTTCCAACTTTTTCGAAGGATCCATTCCTCTTCCTGGGGTTCCAATAGAGCTACTTGATCTGTCAAACAATAGATTCCGAGGTCCCATTCCTCAGAATATCAGTAAATTCATGCCAGACTTGATTTTTCTCTCTCTTTCTGGTAACCAACTCACAGGACATATACCAGATGATATAGGAAATATGGTGTTACTTCAGGTGATAGATCTTTCCGGAAATAATTTAACTGGAAGCATCCCTACAAGTGTAGGAAACTGTACTTATCTGAAAGTCTTAGACCTTGGAAACAATCGCATTGTCGGTTCAATTCCAGATTCTTTAGGCCACTTGAATCAGCTTCAGTCACTACACTTGAATGACAACATGATCTTGGGTGAGCTACCATCTTTAAAAAATTTATCGAGTTTGGAGACTCTGGATCTCGGAAACAATCAGTTAGAAGGTAGTCTTCCACCATGGATTTCTGAAGGCTTTTCCAGTCTCAGAATCCTTAACTTGAGGTCAAATGCATTTTCAGGGGAAATCCCCCCTGAGCTTTCGAACTTAAGTTCTCTCCAGGTTCTTGATCTTGCTGAAAACAACTTCACAGGGCGAATTTCACCAGCCTTTGGACACCTAAAAGCCATGGCACAAGAGCAAAGGATAAATAAATATCTCTTTTATGGGAAGTACAGAGGTCTGTATTTCGAGGAAAACTTGGTTGTCAATTTGAATATTCGACCTCAGCTGTTCACCAAGACTCTCTCCCTCTTGACCTCTATAGATCTATCTGGAAACAGCTTGTATGGAGAGATTCCAGTGGAATTGACAAAATTGCACGGCCTTATGTTTTTGAATTTATCAAGAAATCTAGTCAGTGGCCATATCCTAGAAAGCATTTCGAGCTTGCGCCAATTGGTATCCCTTGATCTTTCAAGTAATAAGCTCTCTGGTCCCATTCCTTCGAGCATAACTTCATTATCATTTCTGAGTTATCTCAATTTGTCGAACAACAATTTATCGGGTAAGATCCCTGAATCTGGTCAGATGTCAACATTTAATGCATACGCCTTTGAGGGTAACACTGACCTTTGTGGAGCTCAGCTTGGGGTGAAGTGCACCGATGAAGACTCGAAGGGTGGAAACAACACACAAAATGGGAACAACGATTATGACAGCAATGACAAGTTCATCGATAGATGGTTCTATCTAAGCATAGGCCTAGGATTTGCTGCAGGCATTCTCATTCCTTACCTTATTTTAGTGATCAAAAAACCATGGAGAGATGGCTATTTTGATTTTGTGGATAAGGTGGCTAACAAATTATTATCTGTTAGCAGCAGAAAATTACCTGCTAAAAAATGATGAAAGTGTGACACATTCTCAAAGATGGAGCCTTTTGCTTTAAATTCCTTGTTTAGAAGCTTTGAACTGAATCTTATTGTACAAAAAAAGTATATCTTTGTTATAGTGTGTGAAAATGAACCTTGTTTTGTTAGTTTGAATTATAAATCAGAAATATTTTTTTTACATACAGGTAACCTGACCATCTTCAACGTAGCATCTCATCTCGATTTCTGAAGTCTATGTCAATTAATAGGATAAATGTGCTTTCGTTTATGTTTTGAAATAGTGATGGAGTTTAAGCCAAGTTTCTTGAAATATTTCATATCGGTTCATATTGAATACAAACCACTTAGAATTGAAACAAAAATTTTGCTCCATCGAGGCTAAAAATAAAATGAAGCCATCCCACTTATTTTGAACATAAAGTATCTCCAATATCGACTAAAGGTGTACAGGAAAACATAACAAACTATGTAAAAAGTCTATCTCGAATGCTTTTAAAGCATTAAGCACGATGGATTCAACAATGGTTAAAAGTATTTAGGAAGAGAGTAAACCACCTTGTGATGAAACAACTTATAAAAAATCATGCCTTTCGGGGCATAGCCCAGTGATGCAAAGGACAGAAGTAATGTTATCACGCCTTGCTGGCAGTCGCAGTGTGGGAGTTCGATTCCTGAAACATGAAATTGGACTCCTTATAGGCGCAATGTACATGCAGCTCTTGTTCCATGCCTGCTGGTGCACATCTCGCGATTTACCTCCTTCACAAAGGTCTAGGAGCGGGAAGGTGGAGATCCTCAAAGTTGGGGTTCAACCTTTATAA